AACTGAATAAGGGGCCCAAATTCACTCCACGTATCTTCCCAGGCATGTGTAGATAAACCATTTCCCACATTGTAGATAAAAAATCTCCTGCAGTGAGAACGTAAGTCTAATAGGCTCTGGAGAATCCACGACCATTCATTCCTCTTATTGATAACCCAAAAGTTTCGGCCCTGAATACAATGAGACTGAATCCAAGAGACCCACATGGTATTTCTACGATTCAGGATATCCCAAATATGTTTGAAAAGTATGCACCGATTCCAGAGCGCAAGTCTTTACCAAGACCCCCATTTTTAATAGGCAAACAAACCATATCCCACGCAACTCGACATTTTCCCAACTGACCCTCTGCTTTATTCCATAAAAAATTACGAAACAGCTGCTCAATTTCATGGATTGTGGTTGCCGGTACAAGGAATACCGACATCCAATAGGTTTGCATAGAATGAAGAACAGAAATGATAAGATGTCGTCTTCCTCCATAAGAAAGGAATTTGTTCTTCCAATTCAAAAGTCGAGATTTAAGCTTTAGTACAAGGGGATTAAAATCACGTACCTTCAATCGAACTGGGGATAAAGGAACTCCCAGGTAACGAATAGGGAACACCCCCGACCGAAAAGGCAGGCTATTACGAATAAGATTTTGAACCTCCAACCCCACATTTCCGAAAAACACTTCACTTTTTTCCAAACTCGGAGACAAACCTGATCGTTCTTCAAATAATTGGAGAGCACGCTTGATAACTTCCACCGAGGTAGTATCCCCCCGAGAAAAAATAAACAAATCATCCGCAAAGCATAAATAGGTCAACTTGATCTCAGCACATCCTTGATGGTACACAAAATTTGCCTCTTCCTCAATACATTTTGAAAGAAGCAACGAAAGACCTTCCATAACCACAGTAAACAAGTAAGGAGATAAAGGATCTCCTTGTCGGAGGCCCCGCTTACCAAGAAAGAAACCCTCCGGTTAATCATAACAGGATGAAAACCCATTCCCTTTAGCATCTCTAACAGAAATTGCCAGTCAACAGTATCATAGGCTTTCCGAATGTCAATCTTAAACGCACATTTTGGTTCCCCTTCAGATTTTTGATAACCAGCAACAAGTTCATGCGCCATTAAGATATTATCCGTGATCTAACGCCCTGGGATGAACGCAGATTGGGCCCTGCTAATAAGAACATCCAAAGAGCCTTTTATCCGTTCAGCAATAAATTTATTGATACATTTCAGCAACACATTACAACAGGCAATTGGGCGAAAATCAGTAACACATGAAGCATTAGGAACCTTCGGGACGAGACAAAGAAGGGTATGGTTCAGCTGATATTCAAAAGTTCCAGAATAGAAAAAGTTATGGATCCCAATGAGAACGTCCTTACCCACCACGCTCCAAGCCGCTTTAAAGAATTTTGACGAAAACCCATCAGGTCCTGGCACCTTATCATTCCCAATATCAAACAGAGCATCCTTTATTTCCAAATCCGAAATCGGCCTGATTAAGTGCAAAGATTCCGATAACGAAAGGGAGTGATCAAACGAGCAATCCACCATGGAGGGAGGAACCAGCATATTAGAAGTACCCARAATTCYTTCAAAGTGATTAATAAAAGCTTTTKGGACATCCTGGTGCTCAAACACAGTACCAAAGGAATCCCTAATAGTAGCAATATGGCTCCTATTACGCTTCTCTTTCATAGCATGGAAGAAGAACTTAGAGTTTCCATCACCTTCATTAAGCCAAGAGATCTTAGCTTTTTGTCGAACCATATCATCTTGATCATTTCTAGCCTTTTGATATGCTAGTAAGAGGTGAGCAATATCCTCTTTCAGCAAATCATTAAACGGGTCTAGATCACAAGCCAATTGAGCAACATCAAGCTCCGTCTTTAACTGAGCCACCCTTTTATCCAAACACCCATAAGAATTTCTGAGCCGACGACAAACCCCTTTCATTTCTTGCAATTTCCGAATCACTCTTTTCATATAAGAACGTCTCTGAGGTTTCATCCACACCCCTCTACGGATTTAAGGAAATCCACATGAGAAGTAATAAAATTATCAAATTTAAAACCACGCTGACGAATACGTCTACCAACTTTAAAAGAAAGAATACCCGGAGAATGATCGGAGATTCCCCTTGGTTCAAAGAAAACCGAGGCGTCCCCAAAGCGAGAAATAAAAGCAGAATTCCCCAAGATACGATCAAGTTTACGCATAATTCCATTACCCCCAGAAGGCTTCTGTATCCAGGTAAATTGGCATCCCTGATACGAGATATCAAACAATTCTGCCTCTTCCAGACAAAGATGAAACTCCTCCATATCAGAATTGCGTCTAGAGGAGCCGCCGAAACCATCATGTGGAAAAAGCATAAAGTTGAAATCTCCCATTACAACCCAAGCTTTCCTTTGGACAAAAACACTAAATTTACCAATATCTCTCCAAAGGTCACGTCTTTCCACTCCCGTATTACACCCATAAACAAAGGAAATAAAAATTGGATCAAGGTGACCAACAATCCTAATTTCACAATGCACATATTGAGAATGCTGCTCAATCATCATTAGGGATAACACAGAAGGATCCCAAGCCATAATAAGCCACGTTCCTTGGTCACACATTAACCCATTTGTGATCCAACTCCAATTACCAAAAACTCTACCACAAACTTCCTCCAGGTGACTATGAACTACTTTTGATTCAATAATGCAACATAAAGAAAGATGCTTTATATGGATTAAATCACGTACCTCTTTTTGCTTTATTAGGGCATTAAGACCCCTAATATTCCATGCTGCAAACTTTATCATTGAGACGTTGAAGTGTGAGTCTCCCCTCCTCGTTGTTCCATAGTATACCCCTCAGTATCAATGATCTCCATATCATCATCATCACTAGAGTCATCAGAAGGTAAAGAAGAGAAACGATTACTAATAGTCGTGTTACTGACAGCGCCTCTTCTTGGTTTAAAAGCATGGACCACCGTTTTGACAAGCTCCGGACCCCCCCTTGGTAGAATTTAGACATTCGAAAAGACATCTTTCCCTTTTGGCGTCCGCCCAGCATCCACCGTACAACTTTTGTTTTTCTTTGTTGGGTAGTGGTCTAACTTTTGTTGTTCCGTTGTTCTTCTTGATGGTTTATAAATTTGCCTGGTTTCCTTTCAAAAAAAACACCAAATGGGGGTTCATAATTACTCTAATCAGACCTTAATGGGAATAATGTGCTAAATTCGTCAGAATTATTCTAATAATATGTTAATTGGAGACCGACATTAACGTTTGATTATATTGTTTTGGCTTTTTCTCTCTAGGGTTTTGAACATGAAGATGCGATCTTGATGACGATGAACATTGGATCACGTACT